GATAAAAATCATTGTGTTTTTATTGCCATAATATTTTCTAAATCCTTATTCAACCCCCATTCTAAGTATTTTCTCACCTTCAAACTTTTATTCCATTTTTATTGCAAAAGCTTTGCATTAACAACTTGACGTTGGATCAAGTGTCACAAGGTGATTTATGAAAAGAGTTTAAATTAATCAGGGGAGATGCTCGACTTTGCATTCCATTTGGATTTGATTTGGGAAAAAGACTCGATGTTGGGTAAAGTGTTTATTTTTTGTTCTTTTCTGAAAGTGGTTGATTTTAATCTTTGAATCATCCGTCAACTAACACAATAAAATAAATGAAAGTTGTAAACTTTTTACACATCACGGGAATGGGAGTTTAATTTTTCAAATAAGGATACAATACAATAATTAACAATACAAGCTCAATAAACAACTGAAAACAGCAAATCTAAACAACAATGAAATCAAATGCAAAAAATACACCAGAGGAAGACAAGAGATTGAAAATAAATTAGTATTTTAAACTACTGGATTTAGCGTTATGTTAGACAATTGTAGAGTGAACCATATAGGTATCACTCTTTAAGAGGCCGGTCAATAGGCTTGAAGTTAAATTGATTTTTTAACTCCGAAATTGAAAGACATATGAAAATCCAACAACTAGATGATTGAATTTAGTGCTATGTTAAGCAATCATAAAATGAATCATATAGGAACTACTCTATCAGAGGTCGGTCGATAAACTTTATGCGTTTAAGAATTTTCTGAAGTTAAATTGAATTTTTAACTAAGAAATTGCAACGCATCAAAAAATCCAACAACTCGATGATTTAAGTGACATTTTTTAAAAGGTAAAATAAAACAACAATTAAACTACTAAATTTAGTGCTATGTTAAGCAATCGTAGAGTGAATCATATAGGAATCACTCTATAAGATTCCGATCAATAAACTTTATGCGTTTATGCAGTTTTTGAAGTTAAATTGATTTTTTAACTCTGAAATTGCAACACATCTAAAAAACGATAGGACAAATAATCAAATTTTCTATTAAAAAATTTAAAAGAATCAATTTAATCAATAAATAGTAATAACAAAAATAATAAAATAATAATAATAATAGTAATAATTATTAGTAATAACAATTAGTAATCAATAATAATAAGTCAAGGGTGTTGTCGCAGATGCTTTACATGAGCAACTATAACAATCAATTCCCCACAAAAGTCAGGGGTGTTGTCGTAGACGCTTTGCACATGCGACTATAATAATAAATTCCCCATCAAAAGTTAGGGTATTATCGTATACGCTTTGCTCGTACGACCACAACAATCAATTTCCCCCTGAAATTCATGGGTGATGTCATAGGTGTTTTGCTCGCGTGGCTAAATCAATCAAATACTCATAGGAAATAACGGTCCACCCCTTTTGGCAACTAGTCACTCTAGAGGCAGCAGTGGGAGGGGAATTGACCTTTGGCTAGGAACGACTTCAGTGATGTTTAAAAAATTAGAGGGAAGACCTTGTAAGCTTCCCAAGGTCTAGAGTATGCATCTAAGACCACATAAATACACCTCCTGTGGGTAACATAAAAGCATTTCATTCCAAAATATATACACATATATTATTCAATTACAAAGTATTATGTGTACAATGCACACAAAAATTGGTTGATAAGATTACTCCAGCAAAGATAGAATCTCTCCATCTTTGAGCATCTAATGCGAGTGAACATGCTCCTATGTGATAAACAGATGATGGTGAAAATGCTCCACTTGCTGCAAGGCATTCTCAAACTAATATGATAGTGCCCCAAGGCCGACAGCTACGCATTCGGCTAAACTCTGAATCAGATAAGCATTCTCAAGGTGTAGAGACTCCGATCCCCTATGATCTGCTAAAAGAGATCCTTGAGCAGATGATAAATTTCTCTGAGCAGTAACTAGAGGTTTTTTCCTTCCTCACCATAGTCCTAACCAGATGAGTCACTTGACTGACCAGAGAGCCAATGAGCCTAAGGGGAAGTAAAACATATTTTGTCTCAGTAAGTGAAGTGGAAGTTGTTTGTATTTCCTAGAAGTACCTATCTCACTGAAGCATTAGATTGCGAACAATATCTTTCACTGATCCTTCTTAACATGCTGCTGGTTAGACCAAAGAGCATCCCAGTGACCAACTCCACCGAGAGCTAAAGAGGTAGAGGCACTCTGAGTATACCGATCCAGAATCGCCAATTCTTCCTCTAGGGAATGCCCGACCATATTGGACAAATACGAGTAATTTTCCTCTGAAGGAGGGGTTCGATTATATCTGGAGGAATGTGATCCTGACCCCGTCAGCAACAGACCCACTGGAAGGCCTGATGTACTCTATAGCCTCAGAAGTATATTCAAAGTAGTAGTGCCCTAAAGGGCCCCTGGAGCAGCAAAATAGTCTGTTTCAGTTCCTACTAATCATGTTCCCCGTCTCAAAAGTTAGAGATTTACTTCAAACTTCACCAAATCTGCACACAACCATGATTAAACGAGTATGTCATGAATAAGCGTTAAAGGCAAAGAAGCCAAGAGCTTCCAGAACTTACCAACAATAACTTTTCTTTCTTCCTGGGCCTCCATCATCAATTGAATATCAATGAGGCTTAACAAGGGCTTTCGGTCGGCCTCCTTCAATGTAACTCAGGTCATTGATAAATCTCACTAGTCATTTCTTCTAGTACAAATACTCTGTAGTCAAACCCTTCTTTTTATATACGTACATCATGTTCCCCATAAGAAAGTGACTTTCAGTCCAGTACTTGTGGAATAACTGAGCGCATCTACCCTTCACTTTGTCCTTAACACTAAAAAATGTAGCGTGACCTTTAGAGTATATAAGGGTAGCTAGAAATAACTAGTCTTTGAAATGCGTTAGCTAGGGAAGAGTCCTAAAGCCCCGAATGGTCGAAACTAGAGAAACTAATTCCCTACCCCGTGTTTGAGCCGCAGAACCATTATGGTATCAAAAGATATGAAAGAAAAGGTTTAGGTAAGGTTTCCATTCATGTATTCACACCAACACTAGAAGCATTTTATATATTTCCAAATGTTGAAATTATGAGGGAGTCATTACTAGACGGTTAAGAACTTCTATCTCAAAAAGTAGTAAAGGGAAAGCGAAGACCCAAAACTAAGAATGTGAATTCGTAAAAAGGGATGATGCAGTCGCTATACTTGCTACATATTCTTTTATTCGCATTCGGGGGTCAAAACACCCTAATGCAAAGATGAACCGACTTCAAGCAAGACCCCGTCAAGATTGCCATCTCTAGTGAAATCAGAAACGGTGGAGGAGTACACAGGTTCCACCCACAAAAATTATGCCTTCTTCTGGGACTTGTGATCGCTTTTCTATGATTTTTTTTACCCATAATGCACTTATTTTTTAAATGCAAGAAAATGAAGTGTCAAAGAGGAAGATGACCGTTAAACGAAGGAAATTACTCAAAGAAAAATAACACTAACTCTTCAAGAACTATACTCTAGCATGCAAAAAGAAGTAGACTCAATCAAGTATTCCAGTTTCCAAGAGTCGTAATGATGACACATTAGCATAGATGTTAGAAGTATGTGGCATTAAATGCGCGAATCCCCAAGAAACTAGAATGTATAATTTTTCTCTTTTAGACATAAATGCGAGAGTGGTCGGTAGACGAGGCTGAAGTAACAAATCCTTGCTTGCTATGCATAGACACTGGGTTAGGGGGCAACTGTTTTGGGTCAGCCATAGCAACCTCGGGCGACCACCCTAAAGGAATTGTAATCCTTTCAGAATCTTCTCAGCACATAGGGACTCTCCCGTTGATAAACACAAATGATTTAAACTATAAGTGCATCCAACAACTCTCCACAACATACTCCTAAAAAAACAAGTTTGTTATTCCCTCTCTACTATATATAAAGAAGGCGTTAAATTCAAGTAAGAAATTTCAAACTCAATTTCAATTCACTCTTCTCCCTCACATACTGACTTGAGTATTGAAGTGTTAACCTTGTAAGTCAGCCCTGTCCACCACGCCGAAATCTCAGATCCACCATCACTTCTGATCTTCACTCCATTTTTGGATCCAGAATGAAACACCTGTCAACCTCAAGGTTGAAGTATTTATAAGAATCTCTCGAGTTTGGATCTTAGACTCCAAAAAAGCAGTAGCAATATTTTCCTCTTTTAAGAGTATAGTAAATGAGTAGTTACTCCTCCTATTACTTTAGGGAACATGCCATCCCCTTCTTAACCCCCTCTCCCATACTCCATACTATTACGAGTTAAGACACACCATTATAAAGGGCGAGGATTCCAATAAAGGGGTGATATTACAAATAATAAGTTGTCATTTCAATGGAGAGATGACTATGAAGTTGACATAACAATATAAGAAATATACCTTTACAAATTTATAAGAATAAGTAAAACCTATCTTTAAAAGAATACATTTTTAAAACAACAAGAAGTTTATAAGAATAAGTAAAACTATCATTAAAATAATACATGTTTAAAACAACATGATTAAGAAAGAAGGAGTGTAGATGTTCAAATAATAGTTTAAATATATTCAAAGCACATTAATTATTTTTATAAAAAATGGAAAAATACAATCAGAATTTATATTTAGGTATAGAGGTCCCCACTTGTATTTATGACTAACTTTTTTTCTTACATTATGACTAGTAGCATTAATTCATCATGACTATTAAAAAGCAAGTCTTCAAAAAAAATTAAAGAAAAGTAAATCCATGATCAAGTTGAAAGTTGAATGAGTAGAAAAGACCGAGCCCACAGATTTATTTAATCTTTATGTTCCTAAGTGACAGAAAATATAGGATGCCGAAAAACACGACCACCTTAATTTAATCACTCACTTTTTCTCCACAACATAGTAACGTGCTTACCATTCTGTAACAACAACAATAATAACTCCAAAACACAACTTCAATTATTCATCATTTCACGTTTTTTTCCTCTCTCTTCATCGTTGAAATGGCGAAAGAGAATCCAAGTCCAACCATAACATTGAAACCAGTAGCATGGGTTTTACCCTACAGAACCGAGAAGATAACAGAGATATACCGAATGGGTAGAAAACTCGGTCAAGGTCAATTCGGAACAACCTATCTCTGCACACACAAATCATCAAACAGAAGGTATGCGTGCAAGTCAATCCCTAAACGGAAGCTGTTTTGCAAAGAGGATTATGAAGATGTTTGGAGAGAGATTCAGATAATGCATCATTTGTCTGAACATTCACATGTTGTTAGAATCGAAGGGACTTATGAGGATTCTACGGCTGTTCATATTGTTATGGAGCTTTGTGAAGGAGGTGAACTCTTTGATAGGATTGTTCAGAAGGGTCATTATAGTGAGAGACAAGCTGCGACTTTGATTAAGACTATTGTTGAGGTTGTTGAGGCTTGTCACTCGCTTGGTGTTATGCATAGGGATCTTAAACCGGAGAATTTTCTATTTGATACTGTTGACGAAGATGCTAAGCTTAAAGCTACTGATTTTGGTTTGTCTGTGTTTTATAAACCTGGTGGGTGATTTTTTTGTTCTAGATTTAGTATGTGTAGTGATTTGAATTTGGTTGATTAGGGTTTACTGGTTTTAATTTTGTTTTTCATCAAAAGGATCGGGTTATTATGTTATTGGTTGTGAGTAATTGCTTCATGTGCTTGAGTTATTGGTTAGAACTTAGAATCTATGCTCTTTTGAATTGGTTTTAGATTTTGGTCCTTGATTACTTGATAGAATCTAGGGATTATTTGGTGTCTTAACCTAGGTCTGTGATGTTTGTTTTGGATTTCTTTATTTGATCATGAGGTGTTTTGTGTTGTTTTACTCTGGATCCATGTCTTGCTTTTTTGTAGTGGTTGATTGTATCTTTTCATGTGAATCTGTATTGTTTTTCTCTTTCCGTCCTGGAATGGAACTCGTCTTTTGTTTGTATAATGATAAAGTTAAAAGCAGTAATTAGTGTGTTTGATAGGAGTATATAGTGTAAATGGAATTTCATTAAGTTTATAGATGTGTTTTTGGGTTAATTTATTGATGTAGTATGTTGTGGTAGAAGCGTGTTACGGTGTAATTGTTCCAAAAATAGAATCTAGTCTATTTTTGTTAGGTTGTAAATTGGAATCCAAGTCATTTAGTGTTGGAATTTTGTGTCATGTAAATGGATAAGGCTTTTAGTTGTATATGTATTTTGTTATTGAAAAGCAATTGCCATGTTTGAGTGATGAGAATAAAATGATTTTCTTTTATATTGGAGGCCAGAGGTGATGATGCTAGAAAGCGATGTGCTATCAAAGGGGTAAAATGGTAAAGGGTGCTCAAATGGGATAAGGGCACTTAGTCACTTTCTGCTCCAGCTATTAAAAGTTTGAGTAGAAGTCATGCAGTCCTGTTTTCATTTTAACTTTCATTCGCTGACGGATCAACTGGAAAAACGTTCATGCTGTGTTTGCCAGTGTGCCTAACCCAGTGATGTAATTTTCAGGTGAATCTTTTTCTGATGTTGTTGGGAGCCCATACTATGTTGCACCGGAGGTCTTGCGCAAACTATATGGCCCTGAATCAGATGTGTGGAGTGCCGGGGTTATTTTGTACATCTTATTAAGTGGGGTGCCGCCATTTTGGGCAGGTAGCTATTTGTTATTCATATGTTAAATTATCAATTGAGGATATAAGCATGTCCTTCGTTCGTTGTTGACACTGATACGAAAAATTGTCTTTTTCAGAAACGGAACCGGGGATCTTCCGTCAGATTTTATTAGGAAAACTTGATTTTCAGTCTGAGCCTTGGCCTAGCATTTCAGACAGCGCAAAGGATCTAATTCGGAAAATGCTTGACCAAAATCCTAGAACAAGGCTTACGGCACATGAAGTACTCCGTAAGTCTCTCAAACTTTATGTTGAGCAAGTAGCTTAGTTGAGTTTACCGCATCAGTATTCAGTACTTAAATCAGTTTTAGCATCTGTAATATTTTTGCATGGTTATGGCACTAAAGTGTGTTTCTGTGTCAGGCCACCCATGGATTGTTGATGACAACATCGCACCTGATAAACCTATTGACTCTGCAGTTTTATCACGTCTGAAGCAATTTTCTGCTATGAATAAACTGAAAAAGATGGCGTTGCGTGTAAGGTTTCTGTAGCCCTTTCTGCTATGGCTAGAATTCTTTGTGCCGATACACTCGGCATGAATTGAATGCGTTTTTTCTCTTGGATATCAAGTTGCGTGTCTTCCTGTTAGTCCCTTCATTTTAAATTAGTTGGCATTTAAGATTTTGACAGAAATCATAAAAGAAATTAATCACTTAATCAGTGGAATAATTTTACAAAGACATGGTTATAATGCATAGTAGAATGTAATAACTTGAAAATGTAGTTTGTAAATTATTAGCATTGATGAACTGTTTGACCTAGGATTTGTCATTCCTTTGGAAACAGGAAGTTGTTACTAACAGTTTGTTTGTGATCTATTTTGTACTTTTTCTGCTCGTCAGATCCTTATACTACAAGATTTATAGTTTTTTGCTCACTTAATCTTAGGTTATTGCGGAGCGGCTATCCGAGGAAGAAATTGGTGGCCTGAAAGAGTTATTCAAGATGATTGACACAGACAGCAGTGGAACCATAACATTTGATGAGTTAAAAGATGGCTTAAAGCGAGTAGGATCAGAACTTATGGAGTCTGAAATCCAGGATCTTATGGACGCTGTAAGTATTTTTTGAGGGAGGATAATTCATTTTTTATGCAAGTGTTAAATTTAATCCAATGGGGTTGCCCTAGTAAAAGCATGCTAGGTCACAAGTAGGACTGTTTAGAAAAATAAGAAATTAAACCGCACCAAAATAAACCAAACCGAATTGAATTGAACTAGTTCGTTTTTTTTTGTATAGATACTGCCGGTTCGGTTTGAAACTACATAACTGGTGTACATAATCTTTATATTGTTTCAGGCCGAACCGAACCATTAACGGTTTGGTTATTTTATTGAACTATTAAGTCCTATCTGCAAATAAGGAGAAGGTATACAAGTCTACAAATTAATACGAACAAGCTCTTCCGCTTGAGAAAAAATCCTCAAGGAAATGTCATATCCTTGTTGCTTTTCCTGCCTTAAAAAGATGATTTCCTTTAGACGCGAGATACATGTGTATTTCATCCAAAATCCGTTAATTTCATTATCTTCATTGTCTATAAGATCTTATCATTTTTGGCATGTGCCAGGCGGATATTGATAACAGTGGGACAATTGACTATGGCGAATTCATTGCTGCAACTGTTCATTTAAATAAGCTGGAGAGAGAGGAAAACCTGTTGTCAGCCTTCTCCTATTTCGACAAAGATGCTAGTGGTTACATAACCATTGATGAGATTTCACAAGCTTGTAAGGACTTCGGGTTAGATGATATCCATATTGATGAAATGATCAAGGAAATTGATCAAGATAATGTAAGTATTTTTTGTCTTACTATTGTAAGTTCTCATCACAGAAATATCTCTTAAAATGAACACTAGTTCCTTAAATTGCGGCGGCAACTCGTTTATTAATGTGAAAAATGTGTGATGTGCAGGATGGACAAATAGATTATGGTGAATTTGCTGCCATGATGAGAAAGGGCAATGGAGGGATAGGAAGGAGAACAATGAGAAACACACTAAATTTAAGAGATGCTTTGGGATTTGTAGGCAATGCATCTAACCAAGTTATTGATGGTTATCTTTAGTAATCAATCACTCAGAGACAAAAATTGAGAACAGATAATTAACTTTGATAAATTTTAATACTATCTTGAGATTGACCAAGTTTTGCATATCTATTTATTAGATTCATCATTCCAAAAAAGATATTCTTTTCCTTGTTCATCATGTGGTCCATGCGGGGTACACCAAGCGTGGTGCATGCATTATTTGTTCTGGTATTTATTTGCATGAAAATTGAAATGGCCCACACATTAAAATTGTAGAATCTTAATCATGCTCTATGCTAGGTTGTCATATTATATATCCTGTTCTTTTACCCATTTCACTTTAACCCTTATACAAAGGCTACAAAGCAAAATAATGATAGAATCAAGATTTTGTCTGCTTACATTAGTTGTGATTTATTTTCAAACATTGGTCTCATAAAGTCAAATTTGTTTCTATCTGTTTCATAAACAAAGTCCTTGAGAAATGAAGAGTCTTGTGTTCAATCATAGAGGGAAATCCATTTGTGAAATTTCTTTTTATACATGTTTTTATGAAGCGGAAAAGGATGATTTACTATGAAATTTATGAAGTCTATCAAAGGAAGACTTTTAGATTTGAATAAATCACAATGAATGTAAGCAGACAATTTAACTGCTTTTGTAAATCCGGGGATCGCAGCTGTTATTAGTAAACTCAATAAATAGTTAGTTGGTTGGAGTTTTTTTTTTGTTGGAAAGATAATGTATTCATTAAACAGGCAAGCTATTACACATGACAGACATGCATGCAGATGGAGTAGTTTATTTTATTTTATTTTAAAGGTAGTGTATGAAGTTGCCCTCTCTCTCCTAGAATTTATCCATTTATGTTTGGAAATTTCTTATTTTACCCATGCATTTCTTTCTTACGGTGTGGTTTTCCACATACCTTTTCAGATTTCGGAGATATATCTCTGGAACGCTCCATAACTTACTAAACGTTAATAATTTTTCGGAGATATATCTCCGAAACAATTTAAATATTAAATTATCACAACATATCTTCCATAGTCCATTTCCATTTGAATATTTCTAGAGATGCATCTATGTGAAATTTTCAGAGATACATCTCCGAAGTGTATCAGAACAAGTTTTTTATTTTTAAAAACGCACTGTGTATTTGTTCGCAGATGAATTATAAAATAACAAACATATCAAAATAACATAACAATATAGTAATAGGATGTCATACGTCACGAAAATCCAAAATGTAGTAACAATATTGGGAAAAACGTACAAACTATAGTATTGAAACAATAAATACAGACAACTACTGGGTGTATTTGACAACCTATCCTTTGTTTGGTCTGCCTCCTCGACCATCGATCCCCCTGTCCTCGCGCGATGTCTGCGGTACAAAAGTGCCCCCTGTGCCTCTGCAATAATGGCATTCAGTACTCGCCTAACAGCAGACCCCTCAAGGAAGATACCCTCGTCAATGCCTGCATGCGCCATCTCCACTACATGACGACAACGAGACAAGACATCCTCAGTATGATCCAGCTGAGCCTGCTTCTCCTCAAGAATCCCCTGATGAGCTGGTACCGGTGGATCTCCTGGAGCAGTCGGCACCACGTACGGATGTGAGAGAGTGAAGAACCACCTGATGTATCCATCGACGTAGCTCCAGTCATTCGACGCTATGGTAGCTTGAGCCTCATCCGGTACCAGATAACTCTGATTATCAGCAAACATCTCGTCAATCTGTATACGGGTCAAGGCAAGAGGAGCAGAGACAACAGGGTGTTTGGAGATTGTCTGAGTGTACCCGAACTGTCGCATGACGAGCTCAAGAAGATGAGAAGCAGTGATACTCGATCCGCAGGCCAGCCATCCGGAGTATAGCGATATGTCGTCAAATGGCCGCGTCTGACACTGATCCACGTAGAAGTCGAAGTGGATGTCCTAGGCAGCCAAGCGGTCAAGATAGACTCTGAAAGGCTCGACTTCCTGGTTCCCTCTTAGCGGGATAAAAGCACAGGCACGGGATATCTCCTTAGTGTACTCATCCTAACATGTCCAACCAGTGATGCCCGAGAAGTGCTGGAGGATCCAAACCTAAAGTGAAAATAAAAAGCATTCAGGGATCAAGAATTATCACAAATATGAAATGAAAAAGATAAAAAACATTCAAGGATAAAAAATTATTACCACTGTCACGGTGAAATTTGGATACCAAGCTATTGATTAGCTTGAATCTTAATTCATTACAACCGGTCTTTTATTTGTCCAAAGGAAGGGAAAAAAGATCGAATTACCCACAATGCAATGCAAAGGTTAGAGAGTTTTAGGTTTGGGGGTTGGTTAAACTTAGGGAAGGTGCTAGCATCCTAAGTTTCTGTAGTACTCTACAGGAACCTCTTGTTATATTGTGTTTGTTTATTGCTAAGAGTTATCTGCTTAAGGATGAAAGACCTAGGGGTTTATTTCTAAGTATACTCGACAAGATATCACATCTTGTGCCTACATATCCTGACGGGAGTGGAATCAGAGTATTTGTAGTTCCCTTAAAGGGTTTGAGGAGTTCTTTGACTATGGTCAAAGTTCCTACAGGATAAAGGTAGTTGATTGATTGATTTTAGGAGAAAAGATGAGTTGTCATTTTAAGGGAGAAGACTTGACTTAGCCACCATAACTTGTAGGAAAATAGTCTTTGCATCGTCTTAAAAGAAGGGATCAAGTACTCGGATTGTCAACAAGTACGCCTCTATCTCTCCTAAGGAAAAGTTCCTACATATTGATTGAATTGTTATGGGGTAGAAGTTTTATCTCGCTTAAGATGATTAACATCTTATTCTCTAATATGTTTGAATAGTTTGAATTGAGTTGTTGAATGTGTTTGTCTAAGTTGTAAAGATAAAAGGTCCTCCCTATGGGGTAGGATCTAAACTTAGAAGATCAACTTGAGTGGGATCAAGGATCAATGGGGAGTATGATGCAAATGAGATGAATACGCACAATTGTTTAGGTTATGAGCAGATTCTTCCTTTGGACGTTATGCGATAATGCGGTGCAATAAAGATAAACAACGGTAAAGTAAAGATAAATTGCGGAAAATAAAGGCAGGTAAATAAGTTCATACACGGACGCATGAAAGCGCTAAGGTGCACGAGTGAGTGAAAGTGAATAGATCGGTGCGAATACGGGAGCGTGCACGATTGGATTACGAGGAGTTGATTTTAAAGGAGGGATGATTAATTTCGAGAGATTGACTATTTTAGTGAGGTTAATTGATTTATGAGGAAATTATCTAAAGGGGTGAATTAGTTTTAATATATTAAGTAAGTGGTTTTTAATTATAAAGGTTGATAAAAGGGGGACTATTATTAACAAGTGAATATAAGCTATTATGAAAAAAGGTTTTCTTGTTATATAAAAATGTTTTTTTAAGTTATTATAAAAAAAGTTGTTATTATTGGTAAATAAAATAAATTAAATAGATTATTATGAGAGTTTCTTTTGATTAATATTAATAAAGATTAAAATTAACAAGTTCATTGAAATAAAATAGTTTTGTTATAAATAAGTACTACTCAAGTCAATTATAAAATGGTTTTTATTATTTTTAATATAAGGTAATCAAGTTTGTTTTAATAAAATAGATGATTAAAATGAAATTTTAATTATAGAGATTAATTAAGTGGTTAACGGAGAGGTCTTAGTTACTTTTAAAACTGATTAGAGAGAAAAAATCATTAGTTAGATAGTTAATTAAAAAGGGTGAGGATTAGGTGCGGTCGTGCGCGTAGAACTTACGATAGGCCACGTGAGTGTGGATCGGTGGATTAGATCCGTTGGAGATCTAAGGACCACGTGTGCGAGGGTGTATCGTACATGTGTGTGTGTGCGCACATATCAGATTACAAAACAAACCAAAATCCCTAGAATCCCTAAATCAACTCTCCCTCTCCGTCGGCTCTCATCTCCTTTTCCAAATCGCCGAATGCAATCTCCTCCCTCCTTCTTCTTTCAATCGCGCCTCCTCTTTGTTTATTTATCCGATCTTCTCGTTCTTCTTACCTGCTTTCTCTATAAAAATCAACAAAACAAAAACAAAAATTAAATGGTTAGCAGAGAAAATCCTCACGGTTCAAATGGTGTTTTTCGTGTATTTGGTGGTCTGAAGGTGGAAATGACGAGGGTTTGAAGGTGGCTCCGTGGCGGATTCACGACAGCAAAAGTGTGAGAGCTTCGAAGGTGTCGACAGCGGGAGAAGAGATAAGCTCACTCATTCTTTTGATTTTCGAGTTAAGGTTTGATTTGGTATTTCTTTGAATGTTGCATGTTTGTTGTGAATTCTGTCTCTGATTGTTGAATGTCCCTTATCCTTTGGAATTACGCTCCAATTTATAGTATTGAACATAATCTTGTGAGTTAATACATTTTAATGTCCTTCCCAATTCAGCAGGGCATGTTTGTATCATTTTGTAAAGTTATGGCCATCTGGACAGGCCTGTGTTAAAGGTCTGTAAGTGCTGATAAAAGTCCTAGGAGATGTTGTCGGTGCTATCTTTGGAAACCAAGTAAAGCTGTTGTAAAACAAGTCGTGAAAGGTTGTAGTGGTAAGTCAATGTAACCCTTCCTTCTTTGCTTTCCCCTGTCTCACAATTTATATGCTTGCTTTTCCATGGAGCTAATTTGGTTATTATTCTTAACTGAGGGCACGGTTGAATGCGGAGGAAACTGTAATTGTGCCAAAGCTGCAGTTCGACTTTGGGAAACGCTGGATGGAATGAGAAAATAGGGCTGATGCCGAAGATTCGCAAGCGATGCGATTTTCTGTTCAATAATGATACAACCGATATTAATTCTTTACCAGGTGAGCTTGTTTCATTATGTACTTATATTGACGTTGTATGACAAGCTGATGGAAGTAACTTGTCTGCTTATAGCCAAAGCCATGGACATGCTTCATTATTGTCGTGTTCTGATTCTTAACATCTTCATGAGGTAAGAACTTCTTCTTCCACAGCAAAACCGACATCCTCTCCGTCGGT